CCCCCCCCCAGATCGTGGCCTCCCAGCCCTTCCTGGGGGGGCCCCGTGGGGCGGGGGCCCTGCGCCTGCTGCTAGTCCTGCGCCTGAGCATCCACCCGGCCGCCGAGCCCCTCTGGACCAGCAGCCTCCCTGCTCTGCTGCAGCACCTGGAAGGTAAGGCCGGAGGAGGCCCCCCCCCATGGCCCCCCAAGTCCCGCCAGGGTCCCTCCCCGTTTTCTTCTCACTGCTGCCGGAAGGGGCCGCCCCTCCCCCCTTTGGGGACCCCCCCCCCGGAAACAGGATGGACCGAAATGGCCTCGGTTGGTGGTTGGGCTGCTTAAGGCCCTTCTGGGTGTCGCCTCCTCCCCCCCCCGATCAGCGGTGGGCCTCCTTCCTTTAGGTGTGGAGTGGGGGGGGGGGCTGGGCTCAGCTCAGGGGGGGCTGGGGGGTCTCCCAGCACTGCTTTGCCTTTCCAGCCACCACGGAGGCCTCCCTGTCTCTGAAGGACTGGCAGGACCAGCTGCTCCAGGTGAGCCTCCCCCCCCCCCCGAGGGAGAGCTGGAGGGGGAGGCCGGGCATGGGGAGCCAAGGGAAGGGCACGGCACCCCCCCTCTGGCCCCTCTGACTGAGCATCTCCTCCAAGGGCTTCCCTGCAGCTGATCAAATAGGTTTGCAGGTGGCGACTTCCGTGCCGCCTTTGTAAGAAATAAGGAAGTTGGAAAATAAAATAGCATATGAGATGCTTAAAGGTTTCACAAACAGGGGTTGGATTGGATGACCTGCAGGGTCCCTTCCGGTTCCAATTCTGTTATCAAATACCTTCAGCCTCATCAAGGAGATAAAAGCCCCAGGAAGGGTGATTGAGGGTCCCTGAGTCCTTGGGGGGGGGCGGGGGGGGCGGCTTGGGGGCATTTCTGCCTCCTGGGGCTTATTTTGGAGCAGGAAGGAGCTGCTCTCCCGCTCCACTTAGTGACCTGGGTGAGACGAGCTGAGTCTCGGGCATCGGGGGATGGGGCCTCCGGCTGACCACATGGCCACATGAGGCGGAGGGGCAGGCGGGGGGGCCACCAAGGAAGCTGCTGCTGCTGCTGCTGCTGCTGGGGGCCTCCTGCAGGCGGGAGAGCCCCCCTTCGGGCCGATGCCTCTGGCCACTGCATGGGGGCGGGAGTGTCCAACTGCCCTGCCTCCCTCCCTGGTCCAGCGGGGCCCCTCGGGCGGAGGCCACCCTGAAGTGCCCGCCTCTCCCCGCAGTTCCTCCAGAAGACCCTGGACGCCATTGTGGACGCGCCCTGGACTGCCCAGCTGGTCTCGGAAATGTGCAGGCAGCTGAGTGGCTACAACGGCCTCTCTCCGGAGAAGGTCAGCGGGTGGGGGGGTCCCCGGGGGAGGCAGCGGTGGCCCCTCCTGCCCGCTGGTCCTCTCTCGCGGATTCTGGGTGGGCAGGAAGGGGGGCCTCTTGGCTGGGCTCCCCCTTCGGGGAGGCAGCTCCTCGTGCCGGGTCCTGGCCCAGGAGCCCCTCGCGTTCCGGCCTCTGCCGGGGTCCCTCCTGAGGTGCCTTCCTCCCCCCCCCCCCCCCCCCCCCCCCCCCCCCGCAGAACTTCCTCTACAAGGCCATCGGGGTGAGCCTGGCCGCTTGTGCCAACAAGGACTTGGTGCGGAAACAGCTTCAGGAGCTGCTGGAGACGGCGCGATACCAGGAGGAGGCGGAACGGGAGGTGGGCCCCAGATCAGAAGCTCGGGGGGGGGGGGGA